TTCGCTTTCGCTCTCCAACTCGCCGGCGAGCTCCCCGCCGGTGGCGGCGCGCACGGCGCGGCCGATGTCGGCCTACGCGGCCCTGCCGTCAGCCCTCTCGCCCGCGTCCTCGCCGCCGTCCTCGCTCCCGCCTTCGCGCTCGTCGTCGCGTCCGTCGTCGGCCTACGGCTGCGCTTCGCCGCTGGCCGCTCTCGCCTCGCCGGCCGCGCTGTCCCTGTCGGCGGCCGAGCTCGCGGCCTCGTCGACGATGCTGCCGCCGCTGACTGACGACTGCGCGGTGGCGATCCTGCGCCACCTGCGCCCGGGCGAGCTGTGCCGGGCGGCGCTGGTGGCCAAGTCGTGGCACCGCCTGGCGGCCGAGGACTCGCTCTGGGCCGGATTCCTCACCGAGAAGATACGCGCCCGGCGCGATCCCACCCTCGGCGGCTGGAAGCAGTACTTCAAGCTGGCCTGTACCGTTACTGCCACTTGATAACACATGCACCACACGCGCACGCACCACCGCACGCGCACCACCGCACGCGCACACATGCACACACACCACCGCACATGTGCGAACTGATTTGTGTGTTTGGGATGGCGCTGGGTTAGGGCGGCGATCGAAGGTGGCAACGGAGATGCTCACCACCGAGCAGAGCTACGTTGGGTCGCTCCGACGAGTCGTCGAACTGTTCATCGTGCCCCTGCGGGACAAGGGCAACGAGCAGGTCATCACCGCCGAGGAGAGGAAGGCCCTCTTCTCCGAGATCGAGGCACGTCGACCCTGCCCTGAGCTCTGAGGCTTTCGGTCGATGTAATAATTGTGGCTCGCGGTGGTGCAGGTGATCCTCGGGCTCAACAGTTCGCTGTTGAGCGAGCTGGAGGAGCGGATGGCCCAGTGGTCCTTCGACCAATGCCTCGGCGACATCTTCAAACAATTCGTACAAACAATTCTGCCTCCTGTTTGTCTTGGCCTTTCTCGCACCACTTTGGGCGGTACCGCGCAGCACTAATCACTCACCACCCGTCCCCTGCACGCACCTACGCACCTGCAGACGTCGTTCCTCAAGGTGTACACGTCGTACATCAACAACTTTGACAACTCGATCACCACCCTCGCCAAGCTCAAGCAGTCCAATGCCAACTTCTCCGCCTACCTCTCGGTACCATCACACACCCTCCCCTCCCCCGTCGCCGACGCGCCCCGGGCGTTGGGCCAACCGCACGTGACTGACCGTGTGGCCGGCTCCCATTCCGCACTCCCAGTATGCCGAGAGCCGCAAGGAGTGCAACGGGCTCCAAATCAATTCGTTCCTGGTGATGCCCGTGCAGCGCATCCCTCGCTACGTGCTCCTGCTCAAGGTACACACTTCTTCGTCTTCGTCTTCATCTTCGTCTTCCTCTTCTGGTTCGGCGAGCCACGGGCGGTGATGCGAATCTCACGCGCGCAAACGCAACAGGACTTCCTGAGGCACACGCCGGAGGACCACGACGACCACGCCAACGTGAACAAGGCGCTGGCGGACATGCAGCAGGTGGCGGCCTACATCGAAAAGAAGAAGGAGGAAGCCGAGAACATCTACCACATCATGGCCATTCAGGACTCGCTCGTCGGCAAGTTCAATGTACGTGCGGTGAAGCATCGCATGTGCGTTGCGTGTTGCGTGTTGCGTGCGCACTCATTTGATGGGTGGGTGATGCCGAACCAGACGATCGTGGTGCCGGGGCGTAAGTACAAATTCGAGGGAGCTCTGAGCGAGGCGGTCGTGTCGTCAAAGCGGACCAAGCGGAAGACCGAGGGCTACTACTGCTTCCTCTTCAACGACCTCTTCGTGGTGGCCCGGCGGAAGGGCATCATCTCCCACATCAAGAAGATCACCGCCAAGCGATTAAGGTATGCGCGACTCGAGTCTGTGTGTGTGTGGTGCGATGAAGCGGGTGGAGCACTTATGCGGCCGATCACGCACGCAGACCAGGGAGCAAGGGGTCGACGTGGAACAACACGGCACTGTACAGTACACCCTTCGGCTCGCCGGAGTCGACGGACGGCGTCAAATTCGATTTTGTCAAACAGATCCCCATCTCGGCCACCACCACGACCATCGGCCGCGTGTCCGCCGAAGAGGCTGCCGAGTTTGGCATGGAAGGTAAGCCCCACCCTTCACTTCTCCGCTCGCATTCTTTCTTTGTCTTCGTTCTTTCCTCCCCCCCCCAATTACATTCTCCTAGAGGTGGTGATCTAACGTTCGCTCATTTTATATCCGACAGTTGATCTCTGCTTCAAGGTGGTCTCGGCCGAGGACGAAGAAGCAGAACCGCCCATCTTTGCCGCCCCCAACGAGAAAGAGCTCAGCCGGTACTTACCCGAGCCTTCACGCTCCGAGGGGGGGGGAAGAGAAGAAGAGCGAAACCTGACGCGCGCTATGGTCCAGATGGCTGCAAGCCTTCGAGGGCTGCATTTCGTGCATGACCCCTCGATCGGCCGAAACCTACATCCGAATTGAACGAAGGTACGTTCTCCCTTCATTCTGGCTCGTGCCGCGCCGGAGGCTTGACCCCGCGTTGTCGTTCTGCTTTTTATTAATGCGTGGAACACAGCCGGTCGGCATCGACCGCGGAGGAGCCGTCGGCCATGAAGAAGAAGCGGAACTCGGCGTCGTACGGAAATGCCAAGAAGCCGTCCTTCCTGAAGCGCATGAGCGTGGGACCCTCAGCCTCTTCCTCCCTCAACATCATCTCTCCTCCGTCTTCCCCTGCCGTCGCCCCAGCCGCCAGCGACAGGTCCGCACCATCGAGCGACGCCTCGTCCACATCCGCTGAGCCGGCCGCCGGCAGTGGAATCAAAAAGAAGACCAAGAAAGACAAGAAGCTCAAGGCGTCCGCCTGAACCGCAATAAAGACGACGCCAACACCACCCATAATTAGCACCAGCAGCGTGGCCCGTGGCGCAAGGTGACCAGGAATCACGCTCCAGTTCTAGTACCAGACAATCCTGACAGTGTTTCGTCGGCCACTAGTCCGTCTCCGAAGGTAAGAAGCAACTGGGACCTCCAAGACCAACGTCTCTGCTCCGGGATCGAGACTTCCGCATGCTGCCCAAAGACGGTCGGATGCGGGAAGCACTCTGCAGCGCTTCTGGTGGACCAGCCAGCTATCGAAAGCTATCTCTTCCTCTACCACTGCGGTAAGGAAGGAGCAGAATGGCGAGCACCCCTTTCCTGCGACGCGACGGTGGCAGCCGAATTTGCGACTGAGTACTGGCACCGTCGCGTGGCAGCCGAATCAAGCACCGCGGACACCTCCTCCTGTTCGAGCGATGGGCCACAGCTATGGAGCAGCGAAGCAGAACGCCCCGACCGAGAGCGATTTCCGCGCTGTGGCCGCCGTCGTTCATGGCCACGTGGGTGGAGACGGTGCAGCGCACGACTACCGCAGCCCTGATCAGCGCTGTCGAGAAGGACATCATCGGGTTCTGCCCCGAACTGGTCGATTTCGTGCGCACGCTCGTCAGCTCAGCTGCAGCAGTTGATTCGAGTTCCGCGCAGAAGGGTAAGGTGTCACTCGGGAAGTAACCTCCGATTCAAACGAGTTTTGTAATGTACTGGTCAGTCCGAACGCTGCGTCATCAAGAACAAAATCACGAAGCAGGCAGGTGCACCCCATTCTTAGGTGGTCTCGTACTCCCATAGCAAGGTAGCAAGCTGGTGAAGGCTGGGGGTGAAGTCGGGTACAATCCGGGCAATGGCGCCGATGATGTCATGCTCGTGCAGCAGGGAGAGACACATCGCGGTGTAGGCGAACCCGTGCGATGGCAAGTTGGTTGCGCCGTAGGCCAGGAAGAAGCGGCGCAGAAGGGGCTTGTCGCAGCGGAATACCAGGACGTGCAGCGCAACGAAGTCGTAGATGCGGTGACCCACCTTGGCGTCGCCAAAGTCAATGAGGCCTCCAACCTCCCAGGCCGGCACGGAGTCCGCAGGTGCGCACCTATCGGCTGCGCGCATGATGAGGTTGGTCGCGGTGAGATCGCTGTGCAGCCACACTGCCGCGGCTGCATCGTTGGGCGGAGGTGCGGAAGAGGCCGAGAGGAAAGAGGCCAGGGTATCGAGAGGAGGAAGGTAGTCGTCGAGTTGGGCCAGGAGGTGCGGAG